AAACCAATGCAATACATTGTAAGTAACCATTGCAATACAATGTAAGAAACCAGTGCAATACATTGTAAGAAACCAATGCAATAAATTGTAAGTAACCAGTGCAATACATTGTAAGTAACCAATGCAATACATTGTAAGTAACCAATGCAATACATTGTAAGCAAACAATGCAATACATTGTAAGAGACCAATGCAATGCATTGTAAGAAACCAATGCAATACATTGGAAGTAACCAGTGCAATACATTGTAAGTAACCATTGCAATACATTGTAAGTAACCAATGCAATACATTGTAAGTAACCAGTGCAATACATTGTAAGAAACCAATGCAATACATTGTAAGAAACCAATGCAATACATTGTAAGTAACCAGTGCAATACATTGTAAGAAACCAATGCAATACATTGTAAGAAACCAATGCAATACATTGTAAGAAACCAATGCAATACATTGTAATTAACCAGTGCAATACATTGCAAGTAACCATTGCAATACATTGTAAGAAACCAATGAAATACATTGTAAGAAACCAATGCAATACATTGTAAGTAACCAGTGCAATACATTGTAAGAAACCAATGCAATACATTGTAAGTAACCAGTGCAATACATTGTAAGTAACCAGTGCAATACATTGAAAGAAACCAATGCAATACATTGTAAGTAACCAATGCAATACATTGTAAGAAATCAATGCAATACATTGTAAGAAACCAATGCAATACATTGTAAGTAACCATTGCAATACATTGGAAGTAACCAATGCAATACATTGTAAGTAACCATTGCAATACATTGTAAGAAACCAATGCAATACATTGTAAGTAACCAATGCAATACATTGTAAATAACCAATGCAATACATTGTAAGTAACCAATGCAATACATTGTAAGTAACCAATGCCATACATTGTAAGTAACCATTGCAATACATTGTAAGTAACCATTGCAATACATTGTAAGTAACCAGTGCAATACATTGTAAGTAACCATTGCAATACATTGTAAGTAACCATTGCAATTCATTGTAAGTAACCAGTGCAATACATTGTGAGTAACCAGTGCAATACATTGTAAGTAATCAGTGCAATACACTGTAAGTAACCAGTGCAATACATTGTAAATAACCATTGCAATACATTGTAAGAAACCAATGCAATACATTGTAAGTGACTAGTGCAATACATTGTAAGTAACCAGTGCAATACATTGTAAGTAACCATTGCAATACATTGTAAGTAACCAGTGCAATACATTGTAAGAAACCAATGTAATACATTGTAAGTAACCAGTGCAATACACTGTAAGTAACCAATGCAATTTATTGTAAGTAACCAGTGCAATACATTGTAAGTAACCAGTGCAATACATTGTAAGTAACCAGTGCAATACACTGTAAGTAACCAGTGCAATTCATTGTAAGTAACCAATGCAATACATTGTAATCAAACAATGCAATACATTGTAAGTAACCAGTGCAATACATTGTAAGTAACCAGTGCAATACATTGTAAGTAACCATTGCAATTCATTGTAAGTAACCAGTGCAATACATTGTGAGTAACCAGTGCAATACATTGTAAGTAATCAGTGCAATACACTGTAAGTAACCAGTGCAATACATTGTAAGCAAACAGTGCAATACATTGTAAGTAACCAATGCACTTCATTGTAAGTAACCAATGCAATACATTGTAAGTAACCATTGCAATACATTGTAAGAAACCAATGCAATACATTGTAAGAAACCAATGCAATATATTGTAAGTAACCAGTGCAATACATTGTAAGTAACCAGTGCAATACATTGTAAGAATCCAATCCAATACATTGTAAGTAACCAGTGCAATACATTGTAAGTAACCAATGCAATACATTGTAAGTAGCCAACGCAATACATTGTAAGTAACCAATACAATACATTGTAAGTAACCAATGCAATACATTGTAAGTAACCAGTGCAATACATTGTAAGTAACCAGTGCAATACACTGTAAGTAACCAATGCAATTCATTGTAAGTAACCAA